GAAAGCAAAAACAGTCATCTCCAAGCTACAATTAACAAACAAAAAAACTGTATTTAAAGTACAACTCCGGGGGAGAAAGTCATCATTGTCTTTCAAACATAGACAAATCACATGCAATGTCCATTTTGAACCTTTTCTCTGAATAAACTCCTCTATGTTAAAAAAAAAAAATAGGGTCTCACTACATAACCCAGGCTGACCTCAAATTCTCAGAGATACTCCTGCCTCCACCACCTGAATGCTGAGATTAAAGGTGGGTGCCTCAATGTCTGATTCAGTCTAGCTTCTTAAAGTATGTGTTGAGACCCTCTACCATGTGGGGTCATGTAAGTGAATATAGGAGCGGGGAAAACCATGACAAAAATTTGGCAATGTTAAAAAATTTAAAACCGAATGCATAATGAATCTGAGGTGTTTCTGTCTATACTTGTACATATTCCATCATGTGACTTCACTTCCGCCTTAGTTCTGAATACAACATGTGCATGTTGCACTGGGCAGGAAGTCATGCCAGGCAGCACCAACAAATGCTACTTCAAACACTTTGGCTCAGATTTTAGACAACTGTATGTTATGTGTTGCAGTGCTTTTTATTGTACATACAAAACTTTCTGTTCTTATAGAAACATTGTGGTTTGCTGGATAGTGATGGTGCATGCCTTTAATCCTAGCACTTGGGAGGCGGGCAGGCAGATCTTTATGAGTTTGAGGTCAACCTGGTCTATAGATCTAGTTCTAGGACAGCCAGGACTACACAAAGATCCTGTCTAGAAAAACCAAAAAATAGAAAAAGAAACATAGTAGTGATATATTTATAGAAACAATTTTTACTATTTTCCACCATTCTTTAGCACATAAATATCAAATTGATATATCTCTGGATTGTATTGTGTTAGACATGTTTGATTTCAAAAGAATGTTGTCTGAGGGCTACTCTTCTGGAGGACCCAGATTCAATTCCTAGCACACACATGGTAGCTCATAACCATCTGTAAAATTCCATTTCCAGGAGATCCAGTGAGCTTTTCTATCCTCCACAGGCACTGCACACATGTGGTGCACAGACATGCATGTAGGCAAAACACCCATACATACATTAACACACACACACATTTTTAAAAATTATACACACACACACACAGCTCTTTGAGTTGCTGGCAAATTTCATTAAAAATAAGCCATGAAATGAGTTTTATCTTGAGATTAGAACAGAATTTATAGTTTCTGAAATGGCCTAGAACATATTTCTGACATCCTGGTATTATGTATTTATTTGAAGTGGCATTCTCAGAATTGACAATTACAAAATTAAAGTATGAATCAACTCTAAAACATTGAGAATATTTTTTTGTCCCATAGCATGAAATATTCAGCCAAAATTTATTTTATCAAAATAAGTATTCCATGCAGACAGAACACTGTATACATAATAAATAAATCTTAAAAAAAGTAAGTATGCCATCTTATGAACCAAATTTACTTTCATCTTCAAAGGTAAAACAATATGTACATTAGAATTATTTAAAAATAGAACTTTTCCTGATTTTTTGCCAGTACATATTGAATTTGTAGTTGTTCTACATGGGTGTGTAAATGCTCTCGAGTGAAACAGGGTTGTTTGTGTTGTGATGCTTTGACCTTTCATCAAATCACCAACCTGAATTTTGCACTTGGCTTCCACCAGTTGCAGCTTAGTCTGCGCCAGTTCCAGCTCCATCTCCCTCAGCTGCTTCTTCAGCGAGTCCTTCTCATCATCGGCTTCAATTCCCTGGTCCTCTCCACTTACAGAGGCTGGTTTTAACGCTTCTTCCTTGCTGAAAATGTCACTGCAGTGTTTACATGCCATCATCTTACCCTGAAATACACAAGAGACACCCAACATCAAACTGTAGTTTCTAGGCTAAACAACTTCCCACAATATATGATTTTTAAAAATGGCACACAATCTTCAAACATTGAAGAATACATGACTTTTAAAGACTTTTAAACATGGCCCTGTTTCTGAAGACACTGTTGGACTTGTGCTGTCACAAAATCCACCTGTCCCAGAACAGGAACTCCATGTGTGTGTCCTTTGGTTTGGTTTTAAGCAGAGACAAACATTATCGCTTAAGGGAATAAAGGTGCCATAAGCTCCCATTGCTAGTCATGCACACCGCATCAAACAAGCAATTCTTTTCAAGACAGCACTGTTGGTGCTTCACTATCAAAAAATGAATCACACATAAAGTATATTATACTTTATTTTGATGTGCTACTGTAACAAGAAGTTCACCGTGTCCATAATGTTAACCCTAGTCCTTTCACATGTATGTAAAGTAACTTCACTACATGTCTGTGTAGCTCCACCAGTTAGGCCTGATAGCTTTGGTGCTATCTCTTCATTAGCTACTCCTGTAGCTCCATCATTAGATTCTTGATTTGACATGTTCTAGCACTTCTCATTCAGTCCCCAAGTCCTCAAGTCTCAACCTCTCTCATCCTCACCAGTTTGTCTCTCATTATTGTTGAGTAATATTCACTGAACACACGGAAAAAACAGTACTCCAACTTCCTTCTTAACCTATGGCAATAATTAGCCCAGTTCTGGCACAAAACAAAATACACTAAATATCTGCCTTTCTTTGCCTGCCTCAGACCCTTTGCCTTTTGGAGTGAATGGAGTAAACAACTTGTTTTCCTCTGCCTGCAGCTGCTCTGAGCACGAGACCCTCATGAGTTCCTGATGGCAGGGGAGTGGGTTCTGGTGGGTTTTACAGCTGGAAATCCCAAGAGCTGGGGCGTGGCTATCAGTTAAGGATCCCTATATAAGCTTCCCTGGAGCACAATAAAGTTGGCATTTTTGTTTCAAGGATGACATGTGTCCCTGTGTCTCTGTGTCTCTATGTGTTTAAATCTCCACCCCCTTTCCCAGCTCACGAACCATCCTGTAGTGCAGGCGCTACATCTGCCATACTTTTATTAACTAAACACTTGTTACCTAAGTAAGATGTATACTGACTTTTATTAGATTACAAATAATGAAAAACTGCTAAGGTAGGCAAGCAACCTACCCAGCCTCTTTCATCTGCCTTGTGATGTGGGTGTGGGGGGTGTTACTTAATATTGGACAAGGGGCCTTATGCATACTAGGCAACTGGTCTACTGTGAAGAGTATCTAATCACAGATAAACAATTTCATTAGATTGAACAAAATTAAAGAATAGATTGATGCCACATTTTGTCAGAGAAAGTAACATAGAGATCAGTTTCACAGAACTCAAGGACTCTGAAGTGGGAAGGCAGAGTATAGGGGATACAGCAGCTAGAAGTGAGCAATCAGAGTTCTCTGACCTGGAGTAAAGGTCCTCATATACCATGATGAAACCATTCCACCAGCATATGCTAGAGATAGATTCACCACCCTATGAGCTGCAATCTGGTGGATAAGTGTGGTGGACAATGCTGACTCCTACCCAATATCCTTCTTTCCTTTCTTAGTAATAGGACCCTGATTTTATTTGCTCTGGTAGCATGTCCAGAGAAATGGTGATATTTCTTAGATGCCTTTGCATTTACGTGTAACCATGAATTAAGTTCTCATCTAAAAGTAGAAATGTAGTTCAAAAGGCTTCTAAGGTCACTTAGAAATATCTCAGTCCGCTGGAATAAGGCTGTTACATCTTTGCATCTCCACTGGCCTGATGTTCTGGTTTGGAGTGTAGGAATGTTGGTGTAAGCTTCAGTCAATAATTTGGTTTTTATGTGACCTTGAGGATCGAAGCCCTGGGGGTACAGTGAACAAGAGGAGCTCCTTTTCAAAGCATTGGTGTTATTGTTTACTAGGATAATGTGGACATGGTTCACAAATGATGAAGGATCCACTTCTCTATTACTAGATTGCTTTAAAAAAAAAAACAAAATGATACCTTTTGTGTTTAAGCCAGTGCTGTTTTGAGTTGGTTATATGTAATTAAGTATAAACACACACAGAGTAATGCAGTAAAATTTGTACATGGGCATGATCATTGTGACTAGTGTGTAGAGGATAAAATGGTGATGCCACAGTGTTACAGGACACTGGAGAAAAACTGCCACACCATACCAAATGAGATGCAGAAACAGCACTGGCAGCTAATGACCAAGAGTATGAATTAGAGTCTGACTCTGGGTTCAAATCCTACTTCTACTGATTACTAGCACTGTAATTCAATGAACCACCTGTTTGGGGCCTCCTGTTAACCACCAGAATCTAGATAGTCATGTATATTTCCTAGGATAGATGTAAGGGAAGATGCACGTAAAGTCTTAGGGCAGTGCCAATTGGTGTTCACAGCAGGTGCTAATAAATGCTAGTCACTCTTCTGTGGCTGATACAAGTTCACCTTTCCCTTTTAGGATACCATCACTTTTCTTTAGCCAATCTTACCTTCATGTGTTTCTGCATTCCTAGTTACTATTTATCCTAGTCATATTTGTCTCCTCTAAGGAATAACTAAAATGCTGATTTTACATCTTCATTCACATTGTTTTTCCAGAATAGTCTTTTAAGTCCTTCTCTCTAACTGAATCCTATAAGTCCTGTATTCCCAATGCCCTCTGGCATGTAGTTGTTAGGTTTTGTCTTCTCTACAGCTGATTGTTAGTATGAGCTAATGCAGAACTGCCCCTATTTCCTAAATGTTGTTTGTGTGTGCACTTGCCTAATAGGATATATAAAATATATTGTCTCCCAAATTAATCTAAGTACTTTATATACACTGTTTTATTTAACCTCTAAAATTATGACAGAGGCAATGTTTTATTTGAAGAAAAGCAAGATTAGATAAGTTAACTTTTCAACCCTATTAAATGCCAAATTGCCTAGGACACACTTATGAAACCTGAATATATTCAAATAGACATCTGGTAAACTAACACTGTATTAGTACTGGTATTCTTAAGAATATATAAAATATATTGATATTATTAAGAATAACAATTCATTTGGTATGCTGTTATTTTTATTAGTTATTTGAGAGTTTTGTACAAATTGTTTTGATTAAATTCAGTGTTCCCATTACTTTTATTCCTTTTTAAAAAGATGTAAACATAATTTCTTTATTGATTCTTTGGGAATTTCACATCATGCACCCTAATTCCGCTGATCTCTCAGTCCCTCCATATCCTTCCCTCACCTCTGCAGCTCCTCCCCAAAAGAAAATTTTAAAAAGGTCAAACCAAAACAAAGCAAGTAAGCAAGTAAGCAAACAAACAAAAACAAGAGCAAGCACTTTTCTCAAGTACAGAGATGACATAAGGAATTCTACCCACCAGGGGGCAGCATAAAAATAAATGGTATATAGTCTCTAGAAGAACATTTTGTGGGATTCCTGAGTGTGAGAACTAGTGGATCTCTGATTCTTGTGCCTTCTTTTGGGCTCTTTTCCTTCTGCTTGTTTTGTCCAATTCCAATGTTACAGTTTTTGTTTTATCTTATTATATTTTACTATGTTATATTTGATTATTAAAACATTTTGTTTGGTAAATCAATTGGTTAGTAACAAGTGTTTTTCCAGTCAGTAGTATTTGCTGTCCCAGAGAATGTTAGGATGATTGTAATTCAGGCAACAGTCAGGTGTGAGATACTGAACATCTCAGGTTCCTACCATCCAAGAAAGACACAAGATTCTGGGCTCATCTATTCTCTCCTTTCCTGCTACCTGCCTCTGAAGTCCCATGCCATTTATAGGAACATAAACATCAGGAAAGACATCCCTGTGCAGGGAAGAGGATGGAGACTCTCCATAGTGTATAAGTGTATTAAACAAGAAGTGGAGAGGGGTCTCTGAGGATGGATTTGGAAGGAATTATATAACAGAAGTAGCCCACATCTTACCTTTACTGCTTCTAGCTCCTCCTTGCTGGCTGCTTGCTGTTTTTCCAGCCTGGTACTTAACTGAGAACATATCTAAAGGCAGAGAAGAGAGTTTCTTTACTAGAAAACAGAATGACTGGTGACATGACTGTTTATCGACTCACAAAGCAAGCTAACATGCCTGAAATAAGCAGCACTGCAACCCTCGTCATCTGTGAAATGAGCAGGACTGTGAGCTCCACATGTGAAGTGTGGGGCCCAGGGCAACCTGGCCACACGAGGCCCAGGACGCACAGCTGCCATAGCAGGCAGCACCAGGTTCTAGGAAAAGCCATAAGCTGACATCACCCTGGAGATCCAGCATCTAAGGGGAAGTACCTGACATTTCAAACAAAAGCCATAAGCTGGTACCATCCAGACCATGCAAAGGAAATTCTGAACATTCCGACCATTGTAGATAGGATCACCTGCCAGCACACACCCATTGCTTTTTACCAGGACACCCCACTTTTGCTACTACAAAAACCCAATCCTAAGTGAGCTTGGGGCTCTCTAATCACTCCAATATATTGGATACAACAGAGTTTGAGTTTGCAAACTTGTGTAAGAATAAAGGCTCATTGCTTTTTTACATGGGACTCAGTCTTCTTGTTGATTTTTGGGGGACTCTGGATCTCAGTATAACATGAAGCATAATCAGGAGAGATATATTATAGGGTAGATGGGGTTATTGCTGTCACTAGTTTTCTATGGCTAGCAATAACGAATTCATAGACTCCCTGTGGAATCACCTATAGAATCTCTATTGAGAATCTACTCTGCATAAAATGTTATACTGGGAATTCAATGAAAAGAATTCTGAACCAGCAACAATTCCCAAAGGTTTCAGAATTCTCTTTCTCTCTTTTCTTTTTAAAGATATATTTATTATGTATACAATGTTCTGTCTGCATGTATGCCTGCAGGCCAGAAGAAGGCACCAAATCTCATTACAAATGGTTGTGAGCCACCATGTGGCTGCTGGAAATTGAACTTGGAACCTTTGGAAGAACAATCAGTACTCTTAATCTTTGAGCCATCTCTCTAGCCCCAGAATATCTCTTTTCAATCATAGCTTTCCTTAAGTATCGCTTAGTTCCTTCATGACTAAACAGTGCTATGCTACAATAATCAAACAAAAACAATGGATGTGTAGGTCTATAACTACTTAGTACCTGACAAGCAGGAAGAACACATTTAATAAAAGTCTATGTAACAGTTGGTTCTGAAATAAGGTGTTAGTAAGTACTGGGATCAAGAAGAAAAAAAATGCTTTCCAGGGTGAAAATATTGAAAAGGTAGGATGTTCAAATCTATTGACTAAAATAATCTTTTCTTTTACAAAAATGAATGGATATAAATCTTAAAAATAATGAAACAAAATAGAAACATGAATGAAAAGCAAGGAAAATCAAATTTTAAAGAGAACACTGGACTATTAACATATATGACCTATCTAGATTTATTTTCTGTATATAAGTGTTTTGCCTGAGTGTATGTGTGTGTACCCCATGTGTGCTCAGTGTCCACAGAAGTCACAAGAAAGCACTAGATTCCCTAGAAGGGAGCTATAGATGGTTGTGAGTCATCATGTGGGTGCTGGGAAACGAACCCAGGCCTCCTGTAAGAGCAACAAGTGTTCTTAACTGCTGAGTCATCTCTCTAGCCCCTCAAAAAAACTTCTAGTTAATATTTTTAAAATAATAAAGGGCTGGAAAGATGGTCAGTGAGTAAGAGACTGCTAAGCGAGCATGAGGCTCTAAATACATGTTTTAACCCATGTTAAAAGCCTCGTATGGCTATGCATCTGGAATATAGAAGTATGACATGGCAATTAAAACTCATTTGCATGTGACGACAGATTCCAGGGTTCACAGTCTCAATGCTGCCTGTGCTGATTTGCATCTAATCATCCCAAAAAATCTCAAAATTACCTTTGTCCTTTCTAGCAAAACAAATATTAACCAAACAAACCCTTGTGTCTCCTCTGTTTTAACTCTTTGAACTGGTTTGAATAGGAATGGCTTTCACAGACTCGAATTTGAATGCCTGGCACCAAGGAGTGATATTATAAGGAGGTGTGGCCTTACTGGGCTACTACTGAGGCCTTTTGGAGGAAGTGTGTCAGTGTGGGTGAGCTTTGAGATCTCAGATGCTCAAGCTAAGCCCAGTGTGGCATTCTCTTCCTGTTGGCCAGTGTTCCAGATTAGAACTCTCGGTTCCTTCTCCAGCACCATGTCTGCCTGCGTGCTACCACGCTTCCTGCCATAAAAGACTAAACCTCTGAAACTGTAAGCACCATTTTTGAACCATGAGAGCAGATGATAACATATTCCCCTAGATACTGCCATTTAATATAGTTACCAAGCTTTGCAATAAGGCAAATGTTACCAATGTGACCTACTAGAAAAGAGTCCTGATGGGACTGTTTCCTATCCCATAGAAGCTATCCAACATGAATAACAACAGTAACAACAAAAACCCAACAGGTAGTATTTGTGTGCTAAGTTTCTCAAGTTACCAACAAGCAAATCCAATCATTGCCTACTGCAGAGTAGGGAGTAAGTAAGACACTGTTCTCAATAAATCTAGAAATTGTCTCTGGAAACAACAAACAAACAAAAACCCTAAGTAAAAGCAATTGCTTTTATAAAAATATAACTGAAAACCCACATGGCATATTACCTGTTTATACTCAGCAATGATAGCTGTAGTCTTCTTTATCTCATATTCTGCCTTTTCTAGCTGCTTCCTGAAGACTTCTTTTAGCTGAGAGAGAGAGAGAGAGAGAGAGAGAGAGAGAGAAAGAGAGAGAGAGAGAGAGAGAGAGAGAGACAGACATTAGGACCAACAAATTTGGTTTTCTTTTTAAAGATTTTAATTTTGTGTATGTGGATATGCATATGTGTGCTGGTGCCAGTGAATGTCAGAAGAGGATGCGGGTTCCCTAGGCCTGGAGTAACAGCTGGTTGTGGGCTGCCCAACTTGGATGCTGAGAACTCTGGTTCACTGCATGTGCAGCAAGTGTTCTTAGCTACTGAGCCATATCTCTAGTCCTTCAGTTAAAATGTTAATCAATTTCCCTAAACATCTACATATAAATCTTCCTAATTTCCATAATTCAAAACCTACCAATTATAGAGATGGAGAAGGGTTTCTTTTCTATAAAGTGGAAGACATACAAGTGGTCCTATGATAAAACTGCTTCTGCTTTTCAGGTACTTGATAAATGTATTGCTAAGTTAAGTATCAGTTCAGAAGCTGTCTTTATTGTGAGTCTACAACAAACTGCCAGGTCAACACCATTTTCAAAGTATGTTACTCTTGATGCTATGCTATATTTTGTTCTCCCTGTCTATTGTCCCCACTGCCACTGACATTGCAGGGGTAAGAGGTTTGGAGTCAGGAAGGGATGGAAGATAAGAGCTCTTAAGAAGGAAGAAGGTTCAGGAAACCAGATAGAAGGAAAAAAGTGACACAACACTGGGACATTTGTTTTAGTCAGTGTCATGCTAACTTATAAATATTGTACCAGCAGCCACAGTTATTGTTATTATTATTTTTACCAGCAGCTATAGAATTCTAGGATAGGGGAAGGTTAAGTAATGAAAATGCTCAGGTACCAGGATTCTGCCAAGTTGCTGGCCAAACAGGAATGCAAACAAAAAATAGCTCTGGTTAATCTTCAATACACACACAGAATAAAAAAGATGAATTAATTACTAGGGCTGGAGAGATGGCTCAGCAGAAAAGAAGACATAGAGCTCGTGTAGAGAACGGAATTCAGTTCCTAGCACTCTTGTCAAGAGGCTCACACCTATCTGTAACTCTGGTTCTGGGGAATCCAACACCCTCTTTTGACCTCTGTGGGTACCCACACACATATGACATATAGAGTTACAAACACATAATGAAAATACACACATAAATGAAGATAAAACAAATCTTAAAAAACCCAAAAGGATGAATTCTTCTGATTCATAATTTGAGTTGCTGACATGAATTCATCTTTTTAACATATTTCAATGGAAAAAAAAATCACAGAACTTTTTTATAGCTCTTGGAAGGTGCTGATGACATCTCTCTCCATATGTGTCTTCACTGACACTTTTCTCTGGCGGCTTGGATGTAGGCCTTTGAAAATCTTGAGAATAAATTCAGTTTATATTTAGTATTACTGAATTTTCCTCAGGAAGAAACTCATGATTTCAGAAGACTTCTCCCTCTGGAAGTTAGTCATGTCCTGGGCAGGAGATGTTGTTGGCTATGAGTAATTCTACAATGTCATCTCCAGCACTGCACTGTGACTCAGGAAACTGAAGCTACTGATGGAGACCAAGGCCCCTGTCAGAGCCAGGCAGAAACCACTACAGGCTCCCAGTTCAGCAGCGTTCACAACTCTTCAGTAGTGACAATGATCTTAGAAATATAACAGAAAATCTCCAGATTCATCAAAGCTCTTGGATCATAACTCAAAGTCACTAAATCTAGAAAAAACTCAACATTCCTGCTAGACATCTCAGTGAAGGCAAACTCCTAAAAGATGTTCAAAGGGAGAATTACTGTTTATCATTTCCCTTTATTTAGGAGGAAAAACAAAAATCAATTTTACATTTATTTATTTATTTATTTATTTTTACAATATTAAGCAACTTCCTGTAAGTGTATCCACACACAGAAAAACCCTGCCTGTGCATTTTACCTGGGCAGTCTCCTCCTCCTGCTTCCTCTTCTCTTCCTCAGTCTCCACCAACCTCTGCTTGGTCAAGAGGAGCTCCTTATTCAGCACGTCTGCCTTGTCCTCTGCCTGCAAATCAGAAAACAGACAACCGTAGAGAAGGGGATGTGCATGCTGTTCATTACTTCAGGTCATTCTCCTCTCTTCCAGCTTACCCTGGGGCGGGTTTTTTTTTTCCTCTAGCCAATTTTATGTGGCCACATGGCTCAGATTATTCCTAATCTTTACAATAATGTATAGCTAATAGCACTAGGGTTTGGAGAGCTCAATCGTGGGTTAAACACCTAATATAACAAGTATGACTTGAATTTGAATGGCATTAAAATCTGTGTTCTTTCTAAACCCTTCTTGTATATTTTTACATGTCCCAAGAGCACATACTCTGAAGAGATGGGCTGATGAAGAGGAAGAGCCTTACACAGAAGCTTCTAGTTGGAAGCACATGGGGAAGACACAGAGAGGACACTCAGAAAGGACAAGCAGACAGACTGATCCATGCACATATTTTGGTAGAAAAATTAGAAGACTAGCTGGGGTAAACTGGCCCACAGAGTCATTCATATAGGTCTGTGAGCAAAGTAAGACAAAATTAAGATAGAGAACCTATGTGAGAGGCTATGAAAAGCTGCAGTTTGTACCAGAAATTCTGGCAGACAAGACTGCACTTCTAGAATACACAGGAGGAACTTAGAGAGTATTTATTTTTTTTTTGTTAACTTGGATACAGAACCAAAATTAACTACTATTCCCTGTATATCTTTAATATAGCTAGCCTTGTCTGTTTTTATACTCTGAGGTCCTAGCCTGATGTGGTTCTAGTCACAAATGCACATCACAGTGAACAGACCCAACTCTGCCCCACTTGCTCCATCTCACCGCCTCCACTGTTTCATTCCTCCTGCTACACTCCCTGGCACTGTAACCCATATGTGTGGGACTTACATGTCCTGCTCCTATGCTTTAAACACCAGGAGAAATTATATTTCTTTTGCTTTTCACTGTATCCCTGGCACTACAGCCACCCTGGGGACAGGAGCAAACTCTTAAGTGGTTAGTGAATGAACACATGGCTTTCTAAGGCACTGGAGAAGGAGACTGCTTACACAGGAGGTGGCAGAGGGTCACAGGATGAGTTTAGTGGAGAACACCCTGAAGCAGAAGAGAGACAACTGTCTGAAGAAACTGTCCTTAGCTGACAGTAGCCACACATTATCCACATAACCATGTACATTGGCAAGGTAGCTTCTATTTGTGTTTCGCCATCTCTTCCACAGGTCTAGATGGCAAGCACAGCCTGCTGCAAACTGGCAGAGAACTGCAACCCAGCTTCTCAGTTCTCACTTCCTTCCAGCCTCTGCTGCCCTATGTTCTAGTGGTCAGAACTGTCTTCAGAGCATTCAGGGCAATTGAGTATTTACGGTGAAAAAGTTCCTTAGGCATCTTAAAGACTCAGGGCAGCAGGGGTGGAGTGGGTGATGGGGCTTAGTAGACAGTGCACCTGTCAAGCATGCACAAGACCCTGAGTTCAAGCTCTATCAGCACAGAATGGAACTTGGGGGTGCATGCCAGTAATCCCAACACTCAGCATGTGAAAGTAAGAGGATAAGATGTTAAAGGTCATCCTTGACTGCACAGTGAACCAGAGGCAAAGAGGACTCCATGAGATACACATACCACCACCATCTCCTCCTCCACCACCTCTACCACCACCTACCACCGCCACTATTCCCCTGCCCCCTCCCTCGCTTAAAGACTCTAAAATTTATTCTGATGCATTAAATTTTAGGTGGGGAGGGCAGCAGTGATTGGTTCAGTAGGTAAAGGTACTGGCCACCAATCCTGACAACCTGAGTTCTATTCTTGGAACCCACATGACAAAAAGAGAGCCTTCACCCCCACCACAAGCAGTGCTCTGCTCTCCACATACATGCAGGGGCACAGGTACATCCCCATATGCATCATAAATCAATGAATAAACATAAGACTATTTTAAACCTTAGTAGAAAAATCAGAAGAGAAGGTAGGCATATTAACATTACTCTTAGTTCCAAAATTGCAACTTGCAAAAACTGTAAGCCAAGTATGCATGAATTGTGAGACTCTCAGAGATTATAGGAGCTCAAAAGTAAATTTTTAGAACTGCTATTCAGATGTCTCAGGTGACTCACCCAGAAGGAGACCCTCCTCAAAGCCCTGATGGATGGTCACAGCATGCTCTATCAGAAGAAACCAACTATGTCAAAGTCCCTAAAAACTAACCAAATATGCCTTCCACTGGGTACAGCTCTACCTGAGAATATCTGAGTTTTGCCAATAAAAAGAGATGGCAACAACTCCTTTTTGCCATAACCCAGTACATTTTATTTTGCAAAGAGAACAATCCTAATAAGCACAGTATAAACTCTGAAATAATGCTTTAAAAATCTGGTGTCTTCAAGAGTGATATCTTAGCCTTCTTAGCGATACCTGTGAACTTCAACAGCCAGTGCTATGCAGACTTTGGGGGAAGCTTTTTGAGTCTTGTAGCATATCCAGCCATTTTCTAGTTTTGGAAACTATAGGTTACAGAAGCCCTTCCATGTGAAATAATTTAAAAAAAACACCTAAATATTTATGCTGAAGACATCTTTTTATGTGCATTCTTCTACTGAATTGTTATTGTTAGACCATGATAGGTGGATTCATACAATTTTTAACACAGTGTCCAATGTACACAGCGTGCATGAGTCCTGTGTGTGTACAGTTCCACTGTCTTCTAGGAATCTTTGCTTCAAGAGTCTCCTTTATGTTGAATAGTAAAGTAGAAGTCATTCTCCTGCTCACCAAAATAGGACCAGATCTCCAGATCTCGAATGACCTGACTTCACCTGTAAAAATAGGTTTCTGGTTTCCTTTATAGCCAACAATTCTATATCTTGTTCAAACAGGAATTGCCTACAATACTTAAATACAACACTAAACAGTTACTACTACTGTAAACCCAAATCATAAAACCATCATAATTTGATAGTCTGAATAGAACATTATCAAGTCTTTAGTTATAATTCTTATTGATATTTGAAGCTTATGGCTTCTGTGACATAAATATAGGACAGAAATAGTGACTGCAATGCCTGCTTAATTACAAACTGACCAGTGGCTTGAGAAAACCAGGATGAGGATCTTATACAAATCATTTCTCATCGAAATCACCAAGCCAATTGTTCACTTTAGAACAAAAGAAAAGAACGTACCTCTCAAGACCTGAGCTTTTGGCCCATGGTTGAAGGAACTCAAATATATCCATGAGAAGGCACTAATTTTATCTCGTATTTTTGGTTCCTTGAAAGTAGGGGAGGGCAGAAAGGCCCTAAAAGCACTGAAATGAAGGTGTTTCTTTGGTTGGTTCTGATCCATGAGAAATCCTTAACTAGAAAGGAGTCTAAGGGTAAGTTGTCAGGAAAAAAAAAAAAAAAAAGAGTCCTTTGTGCCAGAGAAAAGCTAAGGTATCTCTGCTGCCCAGGGCGTCCAGGACATCTGACCCAGCACTACAGTGACAAGCACAAGGAATTACTTATTTTAAAAAAGTACCTAGTCAGCATTTATTTACTTTACATATGGTCTTTACACATACAACCCACTTTCACGTCAGTTAATGTTTGCTATTTTGATTAAAAGACTGGATTCTGATATGTGAAAACAAAGATCCTGGACAAACAGGAAGAGCCGGTAAAGCCAGTCTTTTGCCCTTCCTTGAAGAGCAGCAGGCCAGAAGGCTGTATTACAGGAAAGACAGGAAAAGATCTCCTGCAGAGGCAGAAACTGCAAAGTCAGAAGTTAGATGGTATGTATGAAATAGCAGTTTTTTATTCTTTCTTCTAGAAAATTAACTACAAAACCAAGGTTCTAGGATATCACTTTTTTAAAGGAGAAATCCATAAGAATAGCAAAGCAGGAAGGGAAGAAATAAAGGTATTATCAACTCGCATGGGCGTGTGTGTGTGTGTGTGTGTACACATGCATATGTATGGAGTCTTGTCCTATTATTATTATTTTTCTTAATATTTAGGTTTTATCTCCCATTTAAAAACTTTTGAGGGGGCTGGAGAGATGGCTCTGTATTAAGAACACATACTGCCTTTGCTGAGGACCCAAGTTTGGTTCCCAGCACCCATATGCAGCTTACAAAGGTCCCTAACTACAGTCCCAGGGGATCAAACTCCCTCTTTTGGAGTCCTCAAGTACCAGGCACACATTTTACAAAACATTTAAAAAATTAAAAAAAAATGAGCCAGAAATTAGCTGTTTAAGGTGAGGGATTAAAAAGAATTGTGGCAGAGACCACTTTGTCATCCTCTGATTTTAAGAATACTCTATTATTAGTGAATTTATATGTAAATTCTATAAATATCCAATCACCATACAAGCAACAGTGATTTACTCTTTCAGAATCGAAAGTCTCAATTTTTCTTCATTGGTCTACTATGAATATTTTCACTTTAGTAGGCAGAAAACCGAAATTTAAAACTGTACATGACTGGCTCCATCTTAGCAATTATCTCTGAAAATGCTTGCAAAAGAAAACAGGAAGTCCAAAGACTGTCAGTGATATGAGGAACAAAGGGAGCCGTGCAATCAAAGCGTTTCCTGGCAACAGCTACCAGGTAATGAACATACACTACTTGTCTTAGGTTTCTATTGTTGTGATAAAACACAGTAACCAAAAGCAACTTAGGGAAGAAAAAGTTTATTTCATCTTACACTTTCAGATAACAGTATATCACTGAGGAAAGTCAGGGCAGGAACTCAAGCAGGGCAGGACCTAGAAGTAGGAGTTGATGCAAAGGCCATAGAAAAGTGCTATTACATACTGGCTTGCTCAGCTTGCCTTTTTATACAATTCAGGACCACCTGCCCAAGGGTGGTACCACCCACAGTGAACTGAGTGAACTGGGTCCTCCCACACCCATCCAAAAAAGTAACAGGCTTTTTTTTTTTTTGTAACTGAGGTCCCCTCTTCCTAAACTACTCTCTGGCTTGAGTCAAGCTGACACAAAACTATCCAGCACACACTGAAGGGCTTTCTGAATTCTTACATCATTCCCATGAGGTAGATACATTTTATACCTACAGTCTGCCCAGGTTATACAGTTAGTAATATTCACACAGAGGCAGTCTGGCTTTAGCCACTAAACCATCCAGCTCTTCTTGAACAGTGCCTTCTGTTTTTCCTTCTTGCTCTGTTTTATGAGACAGGCTCTTGTGTAGCTCAGGCTAACCTTGAAGCTTCGCTCCCTATCCTTCTGCTTCCACCTCTTTATTACTAGGATTAAAGATAGGTATTGCCACACCGGGCCTAACTTCCCGTGCAACTCTACACGTCACAGGTGAGAACTATTACCATAACAGAAAGGTGTCAAAGTGGCATTAGTATACTCTTGCTGACTAGTATTTTTGGGTAATTATACTGGCAGCTCTTGGTTTAGGAAAAGTACTGACGAAGGAAAGCGTTGTTTACAGGATTTAAAAAAGTATGTCACAGAAGTTGTTTGGAAGTAATCCAAACCTTTCTCTAAGACTTACATTTTCCACTCTGTAATTAGCACAGGCGTCCCTTCCCACCTGCCACCCACCCAGTCAGCGATCCAGCAGCTCACTCAGATCAAGAACAGAGCAAACACAGGGGAGGTGGTGCACACCTTTAACTCCCTCAGCATTTGGGAGGCAGAAGCTGGTGGATCTCTGTGACTTCCAGGTCAGTATGGTCTATCTACATAGTGAGTTACAGGACAGCCAGAAGCATAGTGAGACCCTGTCTCAAAACAAAATAAAACAAAGCAAACAAACAAAAAACCAAACCAAAGCAAAGGAACAGAGAAAGTCTGAGGGAATATTTTGGGAGCACCTTGGTCTTCACCCTCAAAGAAGCTGTTGTAGTAACAGCTCTATACAGTGAAGGACAAACTTACCTGATCCAAGTCATTCCGCAGAGCAATTTTGCTTGTCACTAGTTCATGGGCAAGGTCGTCATTTTCTTGTTCCAACCTCATGCTGGCTTCCTGTAATCTTCGGTTCTCCCTCTGAAGAAAAAGAGCAACAGCCAGAAGTACACATCAGTGCCTGTACATAGAACCAGAAACTGGCCGGGAGTGGAGGTGGGGCAAGCAACAGCAACAAAGTGAACTCTCAAAAGGTGTAAAAGAGAAGGCACAGTGGCACAGGAAGGCAGGCTGCTGTCTGGGAAACAACAGTGAGTTTAGCCAGCAGTGCGGATGCGATTCTCTACCAGTGAAGTTTAACAACCATCCCCTAAATCCTCCAGACAGAACTTCATTAGGTAAGATGTTTCACAAAGAGCATGATTTCCAAATGTGCTCCCAATTATGGGAGGTTTTCACATAGACCTAGAACACAGACATAAACAATTCTTGTTTAAAACATGCACAGTTTGACCTCTAGAGAAGTAGTCTACAAGACAACAGGGATAATGTTTTTCGTTTTTTCAAATTGTTTCTCTATGATGAGGGACCTCATTAATGGAAACTGTTTAAAGACAGCAAACCAAAAATCAAGTTATATGGGTTCAAAAAGTAAAAGGAAGACATGAGTTTGTGATTCTCTACCAGCTGATTGTTTTATTCTTTCTTTATGATATACTTATTTCTGTACATATCTGTTTTTGTGTTACTGAGAGCGTATTTTTTAAAAATGTTTATTCTGTTTTCTTCAAACTGCAGATTAAAAGATTCTGGGTAAAATACAATACTGAGTTACTTTTCTCCCACTTTGAACTCTCAGGAAAAGTTTAAGTTATGATGAATGAAACAAGTGACTAGCTCCTAGGAAGCAAGGCAACTCTTTACTAGCTACTGCGACCTGAGTATGTGTGTCTACTTCAGAATAGCAGCTTAGTGTCTTCTATCGCATTTTATCAAAAATGTTTTCTTTGCTACTGTTGATTGCAGGGGGTGGATAGGAAGAGCTTCAGTGTAACAAGCTCTTTCTGGGTTAGATGTACACTTCTGTCAGTGTTTTCTAAAGGGTGACAAACCAGACAAAGCACTGAAAAAACAGAAGACACATGTATGTTCTGGAAGGTGGTGTGGCATGGCCTCCTGGAACTGCGGCTTGATTTCACCTGTTGCAGAACCTGGTGTTTGTTATACAGAGAACTTAATTCCTAACAACCCACTGCCCTCTCCATTTCTGAATCAGGTCTATAAAACAGATGGTAAGAGCAAGGTCAGCAGAGAAGCTGAAGGTTAGACCTGTACTTTGATGACATCTTTTCTTTTGGGAAAAATGGACAGAGACTGTTGGAGGGATATAAAAAGCCTCTTGCAAAACAGATCTACTACTAAGAAGTAAAAGAGAAATTCTAAATTATTCAAATCTTTTAAGGATATCTGTGATAGAATTTCATATATTAATACATATTAGAGAATTTTTTTCTAAAAATAGTTAGAAAACCATATTTTATAACAATATGAACAAACAGATTATTAGCTGTAGGCAGTGGGTTAGTTTTGGCATTATCTTTCTCTTCTTGAAATGTCCCCAGGTTTTCTACAACAAATATAAATAATACAATTACAATATGAGTTTAAAAAACTTTTGCTGAACCCCTCCAATTCAAAATTTCAATTCTACTAGAGGGGATAAAGCACTAACATGTGAAGAAGAAGAAGAAGGAGGAGAAGGAGGAGAAGGAGGAGAAGGAGGAGAGGGAGAAGAGGAAAGATTTAAGTTTACTGCTAAACAAAGTCACTTTCTACACAAACCACACTGGACCTTTTCTAGTGAGCAAGATTCAATGGAACACCTGACAAGTTCTTCTTTGCCTTATATGTTCCTGAAAAGACAGTGTTCCCTGGACAGGTAGGACAACTCGTATTTGCTAAAAGTCTATGTTCCAACAGCTCCACTCTCCAACTGAAGTATACAGATAATAGATAGGAAAAAGGCTTCTGAGGCTTAACCTTTGCTGATGGCACCCGATTTCTACCAGGGCTGTAGGCTGAGTCTATTACCTCTTTGTGGAAACGACTCATGTGCATGCAGAAAATCAGATTTTTAAATACACATTTTAAAAACTTTTTCAATAAATGTCTCCTTGCCAGGAAACAACAGCAACCCAGCATGATTTCAACATCACATATTTCACAAGGCAGACTGCTTGGGTGGGGAAGAGATTTTTCTCATTTCTTGATAAATCCCCTCAAGAGGCCAAGATAAGACTTTACCACCTGTTCCTGAGTTACATGTCCTGCTTCTACTGAGACTGTGCTCCCAGAATGCGAAGATACAAAATGCTTTCTCAACTATTATTTACATCATATTGATATGCTACCAGTTTTTCAGGTTGCTGCTATTGTGTTTAGAATGTGTTAACCTCCGGGTAGTCAGTCATATGGTGTCCATGGGAAAATTACTTAACTGAAGTATTTGAAAGTAGTACCGGGTAGCAACTTCACTCTCAACTAGGATGTAGGTCTGATGAATTATATATTACAGAAGCAGCTGTGATGAGCACAGCTCAGATTCTGACTGGAAACTCATTACTCATGAAAGCTGAACCCTTCATTACAGACACACAACCAAAGGAGTAAGAACACGGGGCACTCTGAGTAAGTAGGTCTCTGAGAGTCCCTGTAAAGCAGATTGGCCCACAAGGCATGGCTACTGGCTTTCGCTTTAGCAAGCAGCTTCACTTTGGTGTCTGCAAAGCAAGCGGCACAGTGGGAAGTGTCAGATGCCTGCTCTGCACTCACAGACAAGGGAAAGCAAGCTATGGGGCCAAAAATGCAGTATCATCCTCCAGAGGGCAATCCTGGGTACTGAGGTGTCCTCATGCTGGAGGCACAGAGTATGGCTGAGAGCAACTGTGAGATCCTGCTGCTGAGACAGGGATTTCCTGTGATGAACATGCCTAAACACGCCAAGGATTAAAACAGTATAATGCTTAGGTGTCCTTCCTAGCCTTTCCTAAGGAGCCAAAACTATTCAGAATAGTTCTGAATAGAACTGACCACTTTGAAAAAAAACTTTCCTAACGTTACACTGGGGACAAAGTAGGTTTGACAGTCTTGGTTCATTTTAAACTATGGGTCTGCCCAAGAAAGAGACCATGAAGTCAGCTGGGTAACCTCAGCCAGTGCAGATATCCACACAGTGAATGTTAGTAAAGGCAGATGTGACAACATCTCAGAACCTGGAAACAAATTGGCGAGATGGCCCCTCTTGCCTTTCAGAAAAGATTAGAGGAGGCACAGCTTATGAAACTTACATCACACTTCTGAAACATGCTCCATCTCAAACATTTGATACCATGAGAACAAAAATCATACAACTTTCCTCAATCCCTCCCTCCCTTCTGGCACAGGACTTATACAGCTGGGAAAGTTTGGTTAGTAACTTTTAGGAGGACGATACTGCATTTTTTTTTTCAGAGACAGACACTAATACAGACATACACAGATTGAAAAAAAAAAAAACCAACTTACCTCTTCAAAAGTCATAGACCAACTACCGTTTTCAACCATAGGTACAAAGACAATTGAAAAAGAAAAGAGGAATATCCAGTGAAATTGCACACCTACTAATATATGTAGGAAACGGCGGTAACAGAAACAGACATGTGCTAATATTCTCACTGTTTGTTCAGAATGTCACACAGTGAAGTGCTCTCTGTGACTGCAAACATTCAATGGAAAAGTATGCTTGAAGCAGCCACTGGGCAAGTCTCAACTCAGGAAGACTCGGGCTTGCAAACTCCTCCCTCTCCACACGGCTATTTGCAGTTTGCATGACTTATAAAAATGAAAATGCCGTGTGTGGAAGTATTAGCAGCTACAGATGACTTGTTGATTTGGGGTTAATGCTGGGTGGGAGGAACTTCCTCACAGGACAATATCAGAAGCCTTGCAGAATAGTTCCTCTTTGAAATTGCTAAGCAGGGGAGAACACATGGAAATTGTGCCTGATTCCTGTTTATTCCTGGGGCTGAAGTTTTTGTGAAGCCATCTAAGGGATGGCAAGGAGAAACCAGAGAAATGTTAACTGGCAAGGAAAAGAAAATGAAGTCAGCTTTCAGGGAAAAAATGATGCAGAAGGCAGTGGCTATGTAACCACACAATATTTTGGGCGTGTTGTCTGCTGCTAGGATGAATTCTTGGAACATGCTTAAAAATACTTAAGGGTCAGGAGAAAATGTTTCTCTCATAGACCCGGCACAATTTTATTAGCAGATAAGCCATTAACTCTTGAAAGTTTTCTTTTGGAAACTTTTTAAAAATGCTTTTTGTAATTTTTATTTTTTATGTGCATTGGTGTTTTGCCTGCATTTATGTTTGTGTAAAGGTGTCAGAGCATCTGGAACTGAAGTTATAGGCAGTTGTGAGCTGCCATGTAGGTATTGGGAATTGAACCCAGGTCCTCTGGAAGGGCAACCAATGCTCTTAACCACTGAGCCATCTCTCTAGCTCTTGGATATTTCTTTTAAAAGAGTTGATCACCATACTTAGATTTTCAATAGACAGTTGTTTTGATATACAAAGATAAATGGCTACAGATGAAGTGCTTAGATATCTATTTCAACTATAAATGAAAATTTGAGAGAAACCTCTGAGCTTTGGAAACTACCTAATGCTTTCTTACTTTTCTTATCACATTCAATTTCATCATTCTCGTGGAAATTTAAACATTTAAACTGTCAAACTAAAAACAAAATTTTGTCAGAAATAACTACAGGTGGTAAAACACACTGTATTTCTTTATGTATTAAACGAAACAAACAAGAACTCCTGCAAACTTGGGTGATATGTTAGCAAAGGAGAGTAAACATCTCGGTACCTCAGACCACATTCCCATGAAATGATGGTCACTGTGCAGAACCAAACAATACACCAGTCATCCAGATTTGGCCCACAGCCACTATAGCTTTCTATGCTAGCACATAGATAAATTGGGCTACATAGTGAGTTCCCAGGCCAGTCTGTGTTAGTTTGAGACCCTGTCTTTAAACATAACAAAGAAAAAGTAAACAGTTACACATGATATAGAAACATACTGTTGACATATA